CCTTTCTCTCTCTTTCTTTCCTTATATATGAAAACAGAGTAAGCAAGAGAGATATGAATCCGCTCAGCGCCTCGAAACGGCTGAGCGGATTGAGAGTTCTTCACCATGAAGAAACCTGAATTCTTCACCATGAAGGAACCTAGGCGCTGAGCGCCTTTTATTCGCTGAGCGGATAGGAGGCAGAGAGCACCTTCACATTTCTGGATCAAATCCGCTGAGCGGATTGGAAATGGCTGAGCGGATTGGAGGCAGAGAGCATTCCTTTTCTTCCAGGGACCAATTCGCTGAGCGGATATGATCCGCTGAGCGCCTTCATTGTGGAAACTCTCTGTTCTTATTCCGCTGAGCGCCTCAGAATGGCTGAGCCATTTTTCTCCAGGTTTCAACTCCTACAAAATAAGCACAAAATTAGATTAAAGGCTTCCTATTCTATGTGCTAACATTGATCAAGAGTATCTCTTTGATTCCATGCCTATATAAATCAAAATAACATTAATAACAACACAAAAACTATTAGATAAGTGTCTCAAATGAATGTTAAATTAAGCTAATTAGACACTTATCAATATGATGCATGTCATACATTCACTATTTCATTAACTCAACCTTTCACTTATCATGGAATATCATTTATTACCTCATAAGGTTCGCACAGGAATTCACAGAGCACTTTAGTTCATATTAAAATTTATCTATTTTCAAAATTAATCACATATTCATTCATCATCTCCAACAAGGAATATAGTAGAGTAATCAGAAAGTAAAACATAACACATTCATACTTTTCATGTTCCTAGAAACATGCATCAGGCAAGGGATTGAGGGTCAATCCGACTACCCAACAATTATTCTCACATCCCCGAGCGAGGTTTCTCACTTTCTCCTTACCTCGATAAGCAGGAGATGAAACTAGAGCAGAACCTTGCTAATCTCCTCCTCTGAATTCTCCTTGGTCTTTAAAAGGTTTAGCAGAAGAAGAAGTAAGAAGTGAATAGTATGATTTGAAATCAAGCCTGAGCCTCCTATTTATAGGCATAGGGATGACCGGAACGGCCTGTTCTGGACCCATCCGTTATATGTAAAATTTACAACTAGAACGACTCGTTCTCAAAACCAGAACGACCCGTTCTAGGGTTGATTTTAATACACATTGACCATAATTGGAACGACCCGTTTCTAACTTAGGATTTTAGGCCACTTTATTATTCTGGAACGACCCGTTCCACTTTTTGGAATGCCCGTTCTGCTTTTGGGAACGGTCCGTTCTGGGCCTAAAAAAAAGTATTTTTTTATAAAAATTAATTTTTCATAAATATTTAAATTTTTTAAAAATTTTCTAAAATGTTCTATAAAATCCCTTTAATTATTTAAAATAACTATAAGAAATTAATTTCCATAACTATAAAAATAATAATAATTAACTATTGTATTAGTAGAAAATTTGGGATGTTACACATTGTTAAAATATAGGTATAGGGTATAGTTATATATAATATATGTTGTTGAATTTCGTTTAAAATTAACATTAAAATTTTGTCTATGTCAAATTAATTTATACTCATATATATTATATTTATAGTAACACTTTTTATATATCATTATATATAACATTTCTTGTAGTGCTTATTTGAGTCATTGGATTTCTCTGTTTCCTATATTACATGTGTTCTACAACATTTTATTTTATTTCATGTTTTATTCCTTGTTTTGAATCAAAAGTTATCCTTTCTCCAATCTTGATTTTTTTTATTGCAATATATCACGAATTCTAAGAAATTTCTTTAAATGGATTCATTCTCGGATTATATCATTCACTATCATAAAAAATTCTCAAATATGAGAAATTTTTCTTGTCATTAAAATTTATCTAGGTTAAATTCATCCTTGAAATTTTAGATGCTTCAAATTGGAAATAAAATAGGAATGAAAGAATTAGTGAAGAAAGCAATGGAGAAGATATAAATATAGGTTTTTTTTGGCGGGGGGCGGGCGGGGGCGTATTTTTCAAATTTATATAATTTAAGAAAGAAAGAAAAGATTTTTTACTTGTTTAATTAGATTAAATAAAGAAATAGTCGAAATTGAGCAATTTAAATTAAGTAAAGTCAAGTTTACCTTTTTAAGAATATACACCAACAAATTCCCCCCCTTGCCACTTCGGTTAAAAGGGGAATAAACCTGAGCCTTATGGCATCAATACAAACTCAACTCTTCAAGCCCGACCAAATGGTGCAATGATTTTAGGTAATTCTTGCATTGTTATTTGGTCTAAGATGAGTAGTATATATGGGGTCAATATTTAACAATTTCTCAAATAAAGATATTAGTCATGTATCTTTAAAACAACAACCTTGTCTAGAACTCGACAAGGCCATATTTGATGTGGAAGGTGCACATGGAAAATGTTTATCCAAAAAGTAGAACCGAAAAGAGGTATTTTGGCCTTTCCCTGTTGCAATTTCATGCCAGGAAAAGAGAGACTTATCTCCTATGGAACCCACATAGTTTGGGGATTCATTATCCATTTCAACTCCAAACAAACGGTGTGAAAGATAAACATATCCACTCTTCTTCATTCCTCCCATCAAGTTTTCTCATCATTTCAATCTAAATAAACAAATTGTTAAATTCTTATTTAAGCATTAAATAAAAAATCAAAATAAAATTTAAAACTAGTCCTAGATAATTTGATAATAATAATAATAAAATCAATCGTCTAAACTCCAGTTCAATATTTGTGATCAATATTACATCGTTAGGACCAAAAAACTATGATATTGTTGGGTTATTCCAATAATAATTATATAAAATAACGATGGGTTTTCATCCACTTCCAGTTGACCTGAAAAGTTCACAGTACCAAAACTCAAACAGATTCTTTCTTATGCATATAGAAAATTATAAACGAGTTCAAATAGATTGATTACTACTCAACTCTTGCCAATCTTCTACCCTTAAGGATTTAAAGTTTATTACATAGAACAGACATGAGTTAATTAATTATAATTGGACGGAAAAATTAAGGACATGAAAAATGCAAAGAAGATTCATCCCAACTTGTTTAGAATCATGATTTTACATCTCTATAAAAGGATAGATATTTACGTCTATAAAAAACAAATCTGTAAAACACAAATGTCACTCCATTTCACATTTCCACACAAAGCACATGAATCAAAATGCTTAATCTATACAGCATAGAATTATATTCCACTAAAACCACACATTGGGATAAATACAGAGCCCATTGTTCTGTATGATCTTACACCCAAACGGTCGAACTCTAGTTTTGCCACCTCAAGTACCCCACGTACGTCCCAAACGTCAACCATCCCCATTAAATAAAAAAGAAACGTACAAATTCATTAAAACGCACATAAAAAAAAATCACTCCAACATTACAACAAGTAATAAATATTATCTATATTTTGATCTATTCCCTCGGTTCAAACGGACACGATTACATGACCACTGACCAAGTATGATTGACAGAGATTAAGAAGAAAAAATAATCTAAGCATCTGTCAGTTTTTTCAATCTTAGAAAATCCAATTAAAAAAAAAGAAGAAAAGATTGAATCAGTCAGGGTTCTTACAGGCACATATCAACAAAGAGAAGCCAATTTTGTCGTGTTCCTTACGCAAGGTCTTCTCCTCCAACCACAACCTGCTATCGAGGCCACTCCTTGTCCTGAACATGAAAACTGCAGAGGCTGCAGAATTGGAATTGAAAAGCCAATCGTGCAAGTCCCACATCATATCCACCACCAAACCATCCACAAAAATTGTCTGGTTCCCACGAAAATTCCACCGTAACCTCTTTACCTCGAACATTGTCTTCTTGTCCACGCACACGGACAACACGTGACTCTTCGACCCTCCCTCCTCCGCGCCGCACTTTATCAATATATCGTGACAATTCCCCGTCTCGCAAAATCTCGCCTTTGTCGCGTACACGGCACTGCCGGAAAACGTTTCGCTCCTCGAAACCATCCAGAATCTCGCCTCCAAGCCCCGAACTTCCTCAATTGGGCTTTTGTCCCCCAGGCGCAGGCCCAGTTCGGAGTCCACCAAAACGACCACGTAGAACCCACCAACCGGCTCTGGCCCTTCCTCGTACTTTGCAACAGACAGATCCCACAAAACTTGAATTTCAAAACTATGGGATTCGAATGCTTCGTTGCCTTTGTTCTTTCTCAATTGCCTTGCGTTGCATTTGGACGGAGAAATTTCTGAATTGGAGATGGTTATGCTGAAGCCTTGGCCCAAGAGTTTCTTGGCCCAAGTTAGCGTGACAAAGAGTTGTTTTTGCGTTAGTTTGTACATGCAGGTAACTGAATCTCTGGTGGAAGGGTTCAGTTTGGGACAGAGATAGGCCTGGTTTGATGAGGGCCTTGAGCAATAGGAATCGGACACGCGAATGGCATGTTCGTTGTAACAAGACGCTATGCCTCTCATTATAAAATGCCTACGTTCTCTCCCTTTAGGGTTCAGAAATAAACCGACACGGACACGCGAAGAAAGAATTTGCTCGCACCGTGACACAGAGAGAGAGGGAAAAAGGGAAGGATTCAATTTCAATTTGAAGGTGACAAAAGACACGGGCTTTTTCTCTTCCTGGGATTTTCCATGTGTGAAATTTCCTTTCTGTTTTCTGGCATACCTGTGGAGAGAAACATCAGTAAAGACAAAATATAGTGAAGAAAACGAAATGCATGATGCCCGGTTCTGCATTCAATACTATTGATTCTAAACTTCTAACATTTAATTACAATTTACTACCGGATGAAAATTCAGAACTCAAACAAATGACCCTATCTTAAATTGCTTACGTTACGTTACCCTCACTCAATGTGACTAATTATGGTTTCACCCTATCCCTATCTTATAAAAACGTTTGTCTTGCTTAATTATGGATTTCATAGCAAATATATAACTGTAAGTCTATAAGTCATTAGGCATTGAATAGTATGCAATATTGGTTAGGGATGTGGGAAAAGCAAGATGTTGATGTTCTTATAGGGTCAAGGAGGGTATTTTATTTTCATTTGCTTAATACCTTGATCTGTGTTGACATGTGGGTTGGGATGACTATGACAGACACAGTAACAAGATAACGAAGCTGACGGGGAAATGGAGACGAAAATACAAGGATGAGAGTGATAGTTGGACCCACCAATTAAAGTCAGGCTTCAGATTCACCTACTTGGACTCCAGACAAATAAGATTGAAAGCTTCCCTGTAACCATTTTTTTTTCGTGTTAGTTATTACTGTATATAAATTACCCATTCATACCCATCAATGAAATTTTACTTTGTTCAACATACTTAGGAAGATTCTTTTAAAAATTTTCTTCTCTAATCTTTGATTTAATAAGTAAAATCCTGTGTAAAATTAATACTATGATGGTTTGATATGTGAATCTCTATTATGTTGTGTCATCATCTATCTACCATTTATTTACCATAAATATTATATAAGTTACACAAGTTTATCCTTTTCCATTTTTAAAAATAGAGACAAAGGAAACCGGAGGTTGGATAGGCATATTGAACTTTTCATATCCTTGCTTGCTTTCACAGTGCTTATTAAAAAGGGCTTTTTCAGTTACGTGGGAAGCACAAACTCAACTTGCTTTATAAAAGGATTTACAGGCCTAATTTAAGTAATTCTGTTTTCGGTTTTTTTTTCTTTCTCGCTAGCTCTTCCCATCAACTATATGAAGAGTTGGATAGGCATATTGAGTAACTACGCTTTCAGTTACGTGGGGGGACGGTGATAGGTGTAGGGTGTTGTCTTGTTTAGAAATAATTAAAAAGTCGATCGTTTAGGATAGGACTCATAGAGTTTGAACAATATTTCATGTCCATGGACCAAATGAAAAAGAAATTTAATGTCTCGGGATGCATCTGAATTGCAACCACCATTGACAGCCTATAAAGAGAAAGTGGACGGTAAACAAATCCAATTCAATGATGGTTAAATAAATATGTAATATAAATTAGCGAACACAATATAAGTAAAAATGACTCAAATAAAGAGATTTAGGAACTTGATATGGCTCAACATTGATGACAAATTAGTAAAAATAAAAATTGTGGAGGAAAAAGTAGGACTCACATGGAACATAGAGAAAAAGAAACTATTCACTCAGTTATAAATATGATTTACTTATTAAGGTAGCAGTAATTAATTTTAGGTGACTTGGCTTTATGGCCAAGAAAAGTTACATTGACACCTATTGATTTGTGTCACACATGAATGCGATTATTTATGCGGACATAGGTTTCTCACTGAAGAGCTGGCCACAATAATTTTTGTTAATTTTGTGCGCTGGGGGGAATCATTCAGATTTCAGACAACAAATTTGGAAGTTGAAAGTTGAATGAAACACATCACGACGATGGTACGCAACCAACATCATCCTTTCATGAGGGAACCACACAGAGTTACAACTGTTGGTTTTCTGTATTTATTATTAATTTTACTCGAGAATGTCTCGCATACGGCTAAATAAAATCTCTGTTTTCCCAGGCCCAGCAATGAATTATTCTTCACACATCTTGCGACATTATACAGGGAAGTCGATCGCTTTAATTGCTTCCTCTTTAATGAATACATTATTTGTGTGTCTCATTCTCTCTCTCCCTCTTTGTTTTCCAAATTTCCAATGCATGGAAATGGAAAAATATGCCCATTCTTCCCAAATATTTTGTTTAGCAAACGGAAAAACAACCATGATCGTTCACCCCAAAATAGAAAAACACGATACTAGAGGAAATTAGGAAAACGATGAATCAGTGAGAATTTACTTTTATGGAGTAACCTACTATGCCCTGTCTACAGTTGAACTAAAAAACATGCTAGCTGGCTGCGTTAAATTAAGAGTGTCACCCACAAAATAACCACTAAAGGCTACATAAAAAGGCAGCTAGTAGTAGAGTGAGTAGTATTAGGGTCTATTCTGTTTGAAGGTAAATTGATTTTGAAAAAAATAATTAAGCTGTTCAACCTAATTAGGGTGTGTATTTAAATTAATATGAATTATTAATTTGCATTACAACGACAACATGATTCATTGAATAAAAATAGAAGCTTAGAGTCTGAGTTGATTACGAAAGGGATTGTACGGGACATCTTGATTGGCATGCATGTTATTTTGAGCTTAATGCAGTGGTTACAACTTCCAAACTAACAACAATGAAAGTACATTTCATAAAGTATATGCAGGCTGAGAATTGGGCAACCCGACAAACATAGTTCCTCGGAAGTGGGGACCACAAGTGGAAATATAATGTTATCTCTATTTGAAGTTCTAACAGGAGATATATACAAAGGGTAAAAATCTAATAAATTGGAAGGCATGATGCAGAAAGAGTTATTCAAACCAAAAATTTATTTTGATTTCTGAATTTAAAAGGTTCTATCATATTAATTTTCAAAATTATGAAAATATCAAATCGTTGAAAGTATAAATTGAAAAAAAAATTAATTTAAAATTAAAAATATAACTAAACTTAAAACTATATCTAAAATTATATCTTTTAGAGATAGACTTTTTAAAGTGAGTTTTATAACAATGTAAATTTTATAATTATTTAGTTAATCTTATTAATTAAATGATTTTGTGATTGTTATTTAGTTATTTTAAAACTATAAAGAATTAGAAATTTTTATGAATTTGGTTGGTTAGGAGATGTTTTGAGTTGATGTCATTATTAATCAAGTTTAGGGGAAGGTATATAAGATTTTTTTAAAACTTAAACTTTATAAGTTCATTTTGTTGAAAAACTTAAGAGAAGTTCAAGAGATAAGCTTTGAAGTCAAAGGATAACTGTTATCCTTTCTAACTTCACGGATTGCTCCTATCTTTCCTCAGAGCATAGATTGTGTTGATGGATTGTGATTCAAAGCTTCAGAGCTAAGAATCAAATGTTGGTAGTGTCGTGGTGCGACAATAGCTCGAAGTAGCGTTCTTTGCCATTTATCTTATTTCTTTCTCTCTTCTTGTGATTTGAGATAAAGGAAGCTTGTAGTGTTATTCTTAATGTGTTGCATATATGGAATGTTACATGGATTAATCTCTTTGTGATTGTGTTGCTGATGAGTGAGTTGAAAATGTTGTTTTGGTTTTTAGGGTTCTTGGTGAAAAGAGGAGAAAATTGATGATTTGTACTTAATTATTTTTGGTTGCATGTTATTCTTTTGGTTGAAAATTACTTGCTTATGAAGTATATGTGTGTTTTTATGAGTTGCACGTTTTGGATTGAGATTTTGTAGGTTTGAGCCAAAATCATGATTTTGTAAAGTGTGGAAATCACCGTCATGTCAGATGTAGCTTCATGGAGTCAGACATGATGCAGATCAGGGGCTCTCTATCTCACTAACATCGAACACAGGATAAGTAGTGTCAGATGTGAGTCAGATAAGAGCTCTCTAACTTGGTCATGTTGGACGAAGTTTGAGGGGCGTCAAACATGATTACCTTGTGAGATCTCGACATCTAGCCCAAGTTGTGTAGTGTCGAGTGTGATCAAGTTAGTGACTCTCTACCTTGATAACATCGAGTGCAAGTTATGTGGCATTGTACATGGGTATGACAATGACTCTCTACCTTGATGACACTGCGAGTGCGCTAGGTATGAGTAAGATAGAGACTCTTTGCTTGAATGATGTTGGATGTGGGAGAATTCATGCTATGAGTAAGATAAAGACTCTCTACTAGAAAAATGATGTTATGTGTGGAGTAGGTCATGTTAGGCATAAAAATGTTGAATATCTTTTAATTGTTGTAAAGCATGGTGGACCCAATAGTAAGAAATGATTAAAGTATAGATTTTTTTCTTTAATAAAAAAAGATATAATATCCTTTTTTAACTTATTTTTATTTTATAAAATTAATAATATATTTTTTTATTCATAAACATCAAACTCAAGTTATAGTAACCGAATTAAATGCTAATATTTTGAGGTATGAAATTTATTGAATAATATAAAAAAATTTCAATAGGTGTTATTTTGCATATACAAACTTAGGAAATAAACTTTTAGCCATATTTAAAGCCATAATTATCGCACTTGTTACCAGTAATATTAATAAGACATAATGTACAAATATATAAAGCCATTGCAGAGTATATTCGTTTCTTTATATCATACACGCTAGTTGCTTCATACTAATATAGAAGCAGGTGTTGGAGAGCATATATTCTTTACATAACGTGTAGGTTTTATTGCTTCAAGTGATGAGATACTCGGATACGTCTTCAAACAAGCTATACCATACAAAATATAATGCCAAAAGATTCTACCAACCAGCTGACATATCTCTCCCTCTTTACATGCAAGAATTACTCAAATATATGTATAGACAGCGAAATTAACTGTTAATTAAAATAGGTTTAGATTTAAAGTATTTATTTACAAAAATCTATATTGTGATTAATAAATAATATTTTTTCTTAAGTACATGATTAGAATTTAATCGCTTCTTAATGTGTATCAAAAATGATTTTTCAAAAATATTAACTTTTTAAATAAATTTTACTATTTCAAAGAATTATTTCTTTACTCTCAGTCAAGATATACTCTAATTTTACCCCCCCTCCCCCAACAAAAAAGTATTTACTGATAAAAAAAAGGTTTAAGTCTATAAATTATTTTATTTTTTAATTAGATCCCTGAACTTAAAAAATATAATCGGGTCTTTAATCTTTTACATTGTTTATAATTAAGTTTCTATGATAATTTTGTCACAGTTTTAAATTGTCCCAAAAATAATAATTTGTGATGATTTCACTAACTTTAAAGACTTAATTATAAATATGTAAAAGATTAAGAATTTAATTATAATTTTTTTTAGTTTACTAATTACAAAATTTCAAAATATTTAAAGACCTAATGATGTATTAAGTCTAATATTTATTTTATGACGGATAGAAGTTGTATATTATTTTAAAAAAATAATATTTACTTAGATGATATGAATTAATGATATATTAAGACTTAATAG